TGAACCTGCTCCTCGACACCACTGTTACTAAGGGTTTTTATGCATACTGTTATTTTGGGACTTTATGTTTTGGGTATACCTTTTCTTTTGGTATACGTTTTGGATGATTACATGTACCTTAGGTTTGTTTCTATGCGTTGCATTGTACTGTGGAGAGTGGAACCCCTAGGGGTTTGTTGTATTTTTTTTTTTTTTTTAGATGGGGATCAACTTTCCCTCCCTAACTATGTAATTTCCTTTTATTTAACGCATAAGGAGCCACGAGCTGCTCTTTATATATATATATATATATATATATGTATATATATATTTATATATTCAAATGATTTTAATTTCTTCACAATCCATATACTCACTGTAAAGGGGAAGGATTTTTTCTTAAATTTGAACTCTTCATCACATAAACTCTGTTTAGTTTTGATAAGTTTACTTTTGAAGTTTAGAAAATAGTTTAGTTAACGTAATTCTTTTAACTTCATTTTATTTAACATATATTAAATTACTTTAAATTTTAATTTTGCATTTAAGTTTTGAAGTTTGAATTGTGTTTTTCATTATAATCATAAGAATTTATTCATAATCATTTCTAACTTTCCTGTGGGATCGATACTTAGGACTCCATTAGAGCTCTTTATTAATTGATCAATACATATACTTGTGTTATTATTATAGGTTTAGCAATTTGAAGATTTTAAGAGATCAAATTATTTTTACTAAATTTATTTTTGTTGGGATTAAATTGCATATTTATTAAAAGGCGGGGATCCTCACCACTATACTACAACTCCAAAAATATTCTCGCCTCTTGCATCTAGGTTTTACTGGGTGAGTATACCTTTTCGATACTTCCTTAAAGTGCATTACATAACAGACATTGTAATACACTAAACTTGAAGTTTTTGAGATACATTTTGATTCACCAAAAAAATTTGTTATTTTAAGTATACATTTTATGCTTATTTTTGTTCATATTGCACCATAAAGATGGGTATTTTCATATTTTTTTTTGTAGGTATATCAATTTTAAGTATTTGGAGCAAAAGTACCAAAAAGGAGGAAATTTGGAACCAAAATAGTGAACTTTGTGATTCTAGCACCTGAAGAGCCAGACCTGGTGCCTAAATCGCCAGAACTTGTGCCTGAAGCCCCACTTTAATGAGAGATGGCACCTGAAGTGCCAGACTTAGTGCCTGAAGTGTCATTATACAGATAGGTAGTGCCCGAAGCACCAAAATCGGTGCCTAAAGCGCTAGAAACCAGAACACCGCGAACTTAAGTTTCTTGGCGTCTAAAGCACCAGAATCAGCGCCTCAGGCGCCAAAGATGACATTTGATGAATGAATGCATTTCAAGATGAATTTTGAGTTGATTTTGAAAGCTCCAAGTGTTTCAAATGCCTAATGGAGTGATTCAATGCATCTAAACTCTTTCTAAGGCTCTTTAATAAAGGGATGTCTCTTGAAGGAATGGGCATGTCTTTTGGGATTCAAAAGGTGTGACTTTTGTAGAGAGTTTTGGAGGAAATTTTGAATTCTTTTATAGGAAGGCGGCAATTAATAAAATAAAGGGGATTCTAGAGTTTAGTGGTGGTGACGTGAGGTTGAGAGTTCGGTTGAGAAGAGAGAGAGGCGAGTAAGAGAGAAAGTGAAGGACTTGGAGAATTTTTAAGGGTTGTTAAATGAGAGAGAAAATGAGAGATTTCATCTTCATTAAATTTCTAAGATAGAATGGAGAGTGCTTTTAAAGAAGGAAACCGCTTAAAGAGAACTTCTAATGATTTGCTTGGGAAGGATTGTGAGATAGGTTGTGTCTTTTAATTCATTATTTTGTAAACTTTTTTTTATATATGAAATCCGTGTTTTCTTGTTTCCTTCTCATGAGTTCTAAGTAGTCTTCTTTATCCTTCTCCCTACTACAACATATGATTTTGTGAGAATTGATTTTGTTTTATACCATTTTAAATGTCAATAGTTTATGATGATTTGAACTCCGATCTTCATTTACTTTTCAATCTAGTCAATTGAAATGTTCAAAATGTGTTGAGAAACATATGATCCAAAAGGGCTATGATTTCTAAAACATGGTGAGAATCACATTCAATTCCATGGATGCGAATGTTATACATAGGGTTGAGTGCAAATAAATAGAAAAATATACCTTTTTGGATGTAGAATTAGAGAATTTAAGGTGATAGATTAAAATCCCTAATTTGGTCCAATTGATTGGAAACTAATGCAAGGTTGTTAGCCCTCAGGCGCGGGAGAAATGGGAGCTCTGGATTGAGAGCTGGTATCTTCCCAACCTAACGACGAAATCAGGGACCAAACTCTAAAATTAATCAATGTTCTTTATAGCACCCAGAAGAGGGTAAAGAATAGGATTGCTCCTATTTGACACAGAATATATATATATATATATATAATCAAACGATTTTAATTTCTTCACAATACATAAACTCATTGTAAAGGGGAAGGATTCTTTCTTAAATTTGAACTCTTCGTGATAGAAATTTTCTTGCGTTTCAATAAGTTTACTTTTGAAGTTTAGTAAATAATTTAGTTAACTTAGTTCTTTTAATTGTAATTTATTTAGCACACACTGAATTACTTTAACTTAGTTTTAAATTATATTCATAAGAGTTTAGTCATAAAAAATTCTAACTTCCCTCTGAAATTAATATTTAGGACTCCATTAGAGCCCTTTATTACTTGAGCGATACGTATTCTTGTGTTATTATTACTGGCAGTTTAAAGATTTTAAAAGATAAAGTTATTTTTACTAAAGTTATTTTTATTGGGATTGAATTGCATATTTATTATTAGTGTTGTCGTGTGTGTTTTGTAATATTGAAATTCCTGATGTCTGGGTCTAATGTAGTATTTAGTATAAGTAATTTTCTATTTGTATTGGGATTGAACTTCTGATGTTTGGGTCTAATGTGTGTTAGACCTAAAGGGGTTTGTTGGTAGTTTAAGTTATACCTAGGTTAGGTTATACCTAAGGTTTATGTTTAGGTCTAACGTGCGTTAGACCTAACGTGGTTGAAATTAGGTTAGAGCTGGTAGGGCTTGAATTTTAACTAAGTCTAAGCTAAGTTATACTTAGTGAAATTCTGGGTTGTGTTTACAAATTTGGGTTAGGTCTATAGGTCTTAAGATTTAGGTATAATGTGGTTTTATACTTAAAGCTTAGGGTTAGGTTTAATCTAGGTTACACCTAGAGTTTAAGTAAGGTATAATGTGGGTTAGATTTTGCTCTAATCTAGGTTAGACCTACGAATAGTTGATGCTTAAAATAGGTCTAATTTGGATTATACCTAACACTAGTATTAGGACTTAGGTCTATGTTGGTTATGCCTAAGATTTTGGTCTAGGAATAATGTTGGTTAGAACAAAAAGATTTAGATTAGGCATGAGCAATGCTAAATTCGACTAGCACTAAGACTTGACCTAAGTTTGATGGGGTCCAACTGTGGGTTCACTTAGGTCTAGATTGGATTAGACCTAACCCAAGCCTAAACTCTAATTGAACTAACACTTGGTCATTTTGGGTATTTCATGGTTAAGGGGCTAACCATTTTGTCAAACCCTTATGATCCTACTAAGCTTGGATTAATGATTTAAATTTAGTTGTGAAACAATTTACGCTAAAATATATTTTTTTTCTTACATTTTTATCCCTACCCTCCTAATTTTAATTTTAGGATTTTCTTAGGGTGGAAATTATCACTTTAGACATTATTTTCATCACCCAAAATTTTCTTGTTCATTTCAAATTTAATTTTTCTTAATTTTTTAATTTTAGAATTATTTTTCAAAATAATAATAAATTTGGTTGAAAATTACTCACTTTGATGTTAGGAAAGTCCCTTGATTTTAGAAAAATCAGGAAATGTTCCCAAGGGTGGAGGGAACAATCCCTTAAATTTTCATATTTTTTGGAATTATATTTAATTTTTAATAATTAAAATGCTCTCTAAAGTATTTAATAAATTTAAGTTTAAATTTATTTTTATTATTTGAAGTTTTATTATTATTATGTTCCCCGCTATTCACTGAGTCAAGAGGTATTTTTATTTCATTTTTTGTGATTATTCTACATCAAGTTATGAGATTTTGAAGTTTTATTTAATTTTTTAAATTTAAATAATTAAGAAAGCCTGAATTATTTACTTAACCATATGACATCCATGTAAACCTTGGCAGAGTTGAAAGACTACGCGTCTTACTTTGTTCGAATGCTCTTTCCACGTGGGCACTAAGGTGGCCTGCGGTTTGGTGTTCTCCTCCCCTGCGGTTTGGTTGTTTGACTTGATCCATTCTATCCATTTCTTACACTCAAAATGGACATCATAAGTTCATCGTCCTCACAACATAGAGAACCTAGAGCTGTCCATGATCTAACCTTAATATCTTGCCTGATTCTCAACCAAATTGCTCAGGGTTTGTTCCTACACATTCACAAAGTTGATGTAAAGCTATCTATATGGCTAGGTTGACATTCATTGTTCATTTCTTTAATAAAGGACCAAACCTAAGGCTAAATTTAGGGATTTTGACCCATTCCTTATCCCAAAAGGTATGGCCTCCTATGGGCTTGACAAAGATGATCATATTGACACCACGAAGCTCCTCCTTTTCTTAATTTGTGGTTAAATTGTACCTAGCTATGAAAAAAAACAAATGGTGGCTCGGGTTGGTGTTAGAATAGGTTAGAGGGCTCGGGAAGCTTCAATTTTGATAGATAAGATTGTTGTTGGCTTGTGGAAGCTTTTAAGATGCTTGACTATGGATTTTTGAGGATTTTGTGTCGGGGACAAGAATGTCTTGGAGTTGGGTGGAGAAGTAAGGTTTTGCTAGTGGTGGGGGTAGCCAGAAAACAGTGAGGATCAACAGCCTAAGTCGGGAGAAGGTTTTTTTTTTTGTTGAGAACGAGAGGTTTTGGAGGATGGATGGGTAGCTTGATGTGTTAAGGTTCTTGGGTTCCCTCTTTTTATAGACATGGGAAAGGTGGGGGGAGCTTGGCTTGACATGGAAACAATTAGGCGGCTCCACAAAGGATATTCGGAGAGTTCCAGAAGCTTTTGGCAGTGGGGAGGAGCTTTTGTACTTCTCTATGTCTTGGCCATAGTGGAGCCAATGGTGAAGAGGGAGGCATGGGAAAGGAATTGGTTTCATTGGGGATCCTTTTGGTGGGTGGCCAAGATCAATTTTGGTCTGGTCTAGGCTTGTCAAAGCCTGGTTTGGCTCCCCAAAAGTTGGTCAAAGAAGTCAAGCCTAAGGTGCCAAGTGTATGGTGACATGGCTAAGTGTGTGGTTTTCTCCAATAGTATTTGAACACAACTTAGTTTTTTTTCATTTTTGTTACCCACATGTCATGTTGGGTCACAATTGGTCATGACTAGCGAGTCCTTTAGTGAAGCTAGGGATCAATTTGGGTAGACCCCGCTCCAAAGATGAACTTTATGGTTATAGTGGTACATGTGGCCATAGAAAGCACAACCCTAATCAAGGATCATGTGCAAGTAGATGGGGTGAGTCCTCACAAAAGTGAGGTCAACATCTTGGAACAAAGGAGGTTTGATCTTTTTAACTGAATTAAAATTTTACATGTTTAGATCTTCTCCCTCAATAATGATGGTCACAGTATGTTGTCCTAGTTATGTTAGAGATGTAGATTCTAATATAATAACTTCTAGATTTTATTTAGAATTTTCGTCGAACCTTAAATATCCTTCAGAGTTCACTTACACAAAAATCCTAAAAATGTAATAACCAACAAAAATTAAAAGTGCTACAATCACTAATATACTCTTAATAATAATGACAATTATTTATATTAAATTACTTTGCTAATGTCTTTAATTACAACTAATTGATGGTATGTCTACATAAGACCTTCATTAGATTGTGATTGAGCATGGAAAAAGCCACAATTATCTCCATATTTTTTACTTCAAAAAGTTATGTTGAATTCTAGAAGTATAATTTTACAAGCGCTCATATTTCTTTTACCAAAATCTCAATTAATTTGAAAAATTTTTTAAACCTTTTTTATCATGAAAACTTAAGTGATGAATTGCCTAATGAACCTAATATTGAATCTTATATAGTAAAAGAAAGATCGGGGAAGTGTTCCAATGGTAACTCTTTTAAAATAGCAAAAGATAATTTACATCTTAATGTATAAATATTATAATTTTAAAGTTAATGTCTAGAAATATAACAATTAGTTGATTGGATCCATCATCCCTTGTGTACATCGAAATGTTATAATTCAAACTTTATTGGTGGTTGCATTTGTTTTGTTACAACTAATGATAGCTAGCTCTAAAACAAAGATGTTTTTTAATGTTGCTCCTTAGGAAGTAAGTTTAATCAATTACATGTCAAAGTTTGTGCTTATCGACTTCATGGCTACTAAAATAAGTTTGATGGTTTTTAATAAATAAAAGTACATAATGATCGATTATCAAAAATTTTTAATTCAGTTGTGATTCATACACATATAAATATTGGGATCATTCAAGTAAGTATTTCTCTTCTTTAATTAGGTATTGCACTAGTGATGTGATCATTCTCATCATAAGCTTGATTCCTGCTTTTCTTGTAACTCTAATGTTTGGCTTCTAGTTCGTAACTTCTATTTTGGTTTGCCTCATGCAATGGGATACTTATTTTAAATGTATTCGTAAGTTCAAAATCTTAACAATATGAACAACTACAAAATTAGATAAAAGATTTCAGAAAGAAGTGTTTATGAACAAAAACTTTAGGGTTTTATAAAATTGAAAAATTTTCAACATTTGGGCACGTATATGATTTTTTTTAAGTTCATCATTTGACTCTTTATTATTGGTTGGGAGGCCTTTCTTCAAGAAATTCTACATTGAAACAAATAATAAAAATTATAGTAGTGGTATGTGATTAATTGGTTACATTGGGAAAATGCCAAGTTTTAAGCGATGGAAGAGTTCACTAGAAGTTGCTTATTGAATTTATTGTATTTTCTTGTAAAATAGAAAACTTGAAGAAGAATACATTCTAACTTTTGGTGAGTTGGGAAAGTAGCTTTAGTTGAGTAACTACATCGAGTAGCATTGACAATGTTAGAGAATTGCGTAACTCCCTTTTGAGTGAGTATAATTAAATGAACCGACCTATATTGGACATCCTTAGTGATTTTATCTTGTTTATGGATCGCGAACTCAGTATATTAAGCATTTTAACTAATTCAATATCCTTGAACCCACCATAGGTAGGATATTGGTTTGGCTTAGACGTATCCCTTGGCACTTTATTTATACGCCATGGTCAAGCTTTAGCACTGCATAAACGAAATATGTCAGTACTATAAGTAAATTTATAGAACAATACTAAGTAGGCTCACTATGAAAATGAATGAGACTTACTAGTAATTTAAAAAAACTTGGGTGAGTTATTATTATTTAGATCCATGTAACAACAGTTCATTTAAGTTCAAGTGAATTATATTGGTCTAATATCAAATAGATATGTTGAGTAACCTACGTATCTTAAACTAAATATTTTATAAATTTTTTCATAAATTTATTGGGTGATTTTATTTATATGGTGACCAAATTAATTACATGACCACTTTGTTAAACCCGAATTACAGTGCAAATGAATTGAATAACCATGCTATGTTGGATGTATGTAAATATTTTCTTATTATCTTAACTCTTTGATTTAGTGAATAATGTTTAAGAAAATTATTGTGAATAATTAAATCAATAATGAATAAGCATTTTGATTGTGATTAATTAGATGAGTCTAACTACCAATTCTTCTAAATCTGCATTGGCATTGTCACTAAATAGATGCTAAAATTTGACAAGACATAGCAACTTGATCCGAACCATATGAAAAAAATTTAATATCATACTGACTTGGATATCTCTTAGTTTTTTAATGTTCTTTCGATCAAAAATTAATCCTCCTAACATGAAATTGATCCATAATTGGCTCTAAGTTTGCTCAGATTTGACATAAATGACAATTATGTCCTATGTTAAACGAATTATGAGTCGGGCTCACACTAGTTTATTTGAAGGAAGATTTGATTCTGATTAGAGTTTTTACTTATGTAATGAATGAGTTGAGCTCTTAGATTCAAGTTGAGTTGAGTATAGGCAAACCCATTTGACTTTTTAACTTGAATTGGCACCCTTAGTCAAAAGAACCTTCAAATAATTAAAGGATCTAATTTAAATGAAAGTATAAGGATTTTGAGAAATTGTAGCACATACATCAGTTAATATTAATTGTTAGAGCAGGGAAAATATTATCCATATTTGATAAAAAACCAATGCACTTCTACAGGCTAACAAAAGATTTATTTTGGGCTTCTAATACAAGCAGGCGTGTTTTATTTATGCTGCTTCCATGTGCTAAAGAATTATAAGAATAGAACGACGTAATTATGTAAAAAAGCTTACTTTTAATGTTAAATGTTGTGTTTGTATCCGATTCTGCAACTGATGTTTCTGTGCTCAAAGTCTCAGCCTTGTAAACTAATTATTTAATTATATATATATATATATATATTCTGCTCTAAATTAGTGTGCAAAAATTTATGATAAGAACATGCTCGATGACGCATAAAAAAGAATCGGACTTATTTTAAGGAACGAAGAGCACCAACATTCGATGTCATTCATAAAAATATCTTACAATGGAAGCATCGGAGAAAGTTGAAAGCCTCAACTTCAATTAATATCTGCTTATATAAATAATATCCAATTAGTCATTAATAAAATTATCTTAACAGTTTAAAATGCATTCATCATATTTTTTACAAAATTTTCTCATTATTCTTATTAATTTTTTTTCTTTTATCGGAAGCAGCAGGAAAGTCAGTAGTTGGTTTCGGGAAACTTTCCTCTGTAATCTTTCCCTTCTATGTAAGGTTTCATAGCCATTAATAACTGTACAAACAAGCTTTTCTTATTAATCGTAGAATGATCCCAAGATCAGTCACTCCTTCCTCTACCTCATGGACCTCATCCAATATACCATCTCCTTCCTCCTGACTCGTATCGGCCTCAACCCATCCTTTGAAAGAGAGCCGACGCCATGGGAGAACAAGGAGCTCTTATTCATGTCCGTCGGCATTTCCATGCCTTCAGCTAAATCTCCTGCCCAGTCTGTCAAGGAGAAGCTGGCTGTTATCGAGTACCAGAGCTTCCTCAAGAGAAAAAGAAAATCTACGATGGCTGGGTCGATGCCGGATTGTTCCATTTGCCTTCAGTTAGTAGAACCTAGGGAGCATGTTCGGGAGCTCGGAAATTGCTTCCATGAATTCCTCGTGTCTTGCATTTACCGATGGTTGCACCTTCGCAGGTTGTGTTATCCACTCTGCAGATCAGCGGTGGTTCCGCCCGAGACCTGTTGGTTCCAATTTAATTGATCGCTAAAGGACAAATCGAAAAATGAGATTGGACTTTTGGGAATTCTCTTTTATTATGTTGAAGGAGTGAAAAGATACAAGTCTGGGTGTTTTATAATGCAACACAACACCCAATTTTATACTAATTAAGACATACCGAAACAAAACAGGAAACGTACATAATAAAGGCAAGAAAATTAAGTGTCATCAATTCGCGCCTATTTGAATTGATTACACATATTTGAATTTTGAATTTGAGTTTAAGATTGAAATTCAAAATAAATGATATTGCCATATCTCCCATATTTAATTCAAAATTAATGCTATGATCATATCTTCTATATTTGTTCCAATAATTAACTCATGCCTATTATGAAGCCACTAATTATGCAATCAATTCAAATTACCAATTCAAGATTAGTCTCACAAGAACTTCTATTCTCTCTGCCTCATAGAGCAATTTGTCGAGTTTGGCGGTATAGCCAAGTAGTTTTTATCAAGTTTGATGAGAATGTTCTACTAACACGTACGTGTATGGAATATGAACTCATATCGAGGAACTCTCTACAATGGCGGTGCACTTCAAAGGTGCTCTTAGAATCCTTCTATACAATAAGGAATTTTGCAACATGTCAGACTGTTAACCTTCACATATGTGAATCGATTAGTTGTGACTCACATGGTGAATGATGAATATGAAATTACAAGATTAAACATGAAATGCCTTGACGTTACTTTAAATGGTTCCAAACCACGCCCGGAGAGTTACTGGTTTTGGCTCGTTTCCAGTCACCTCGCTCAACAAACTTCTCAGCCACAATGCTTGGCATGATGCCGCAGTGGCTGCCATGAACTCTGCCTCACAGGATGATAGAGCAACGGTTCGCTGCTTCTGAGATTGCCAAGTGATTAGATTCCCGTTGAGATAAAATACCATCCCTCCAGTGCTTTTCCTGTCGTCTATATCACCGGCTAGATCACTGTCAGTAAAACCGACGAGTTCTTCAGCTCCTTGTCCTCTTTTGTATTGAATCCCGTAGCTCATTGTTCCCTTTATGTAACGAAGAATATGCTTCACCGCTTGCTGGTGTAAAGTGGTAGGCTGCTCCATGTAACGACTCACCATGTCAACTGCGTATGAGATATCGGGTCGAGTATGTGTTAGGTACCTGAGACACCCGATGACACGCCTACACTTGGTGGGATTCACAACGATTCCTTCCACATCCTTTCCGAGTTGCAACTTTACTTCCATTGGATACTTGCCCGGGTTGCAATCTACCATTTCGAACTGCTTAACACCTTCTTTACATATGCCGATTGCTTCACTGTGATGTGGTCTTTCTTTTGGTCTACCTCGATACCGAGGTAGTATGAGAGCAGCCCAAGATCACTCATCTCGAACTCCTTCATCATTTGCTTCTTGAATATCTCAACACCATCAATGCTGGATCCCTTTACAATCAAATCGTCAACGTACACACCAACGATGAGTACTTCTGTTCCGTGATTCCTCGTGTACATAGCCTGCTCTTGAGGACACTTCACGAAGCCTAGACTCATCATTCTCTTGTTAAGAGAAGTGTTCCACGCCCTTGGTGCTTTGCGTAGTCCGTAGAGAGCTTTGGACAACTTGTACACCTTGTGCTCTTCATTCTTGACAATGAATCCTTCAGGTTGGGTGACGTAGACTTCTTCTTCAATATCACCATTGAGAAACGCCGACTTGACGTCCAAGTGGTGGATCTCCCACCCACGATGAGCTGCAAGGGCAAGAATTAACCTGACGGTATCGAGTCTCGCCACCGGTGCAAAGGATTCCTCGAAGTCAACTCCTTGCTTCTGCACGTAACCTTTCGCCACCAATCTTGCTTTGTGCTTAAGGATGTTGCCTTCGCTGTCTCTTTTCAACTTAAACACCCATTTTAAGCCGATGAGCTTGTGACCGGGTGGCAAGTCGGTGAGCTCCCACGTCTTGTTCTTCTCGATGGACTCGAGCTCTTTTTGCATGGCCTTATTCCACGCCTCCTCGCTTGTCGCCTCATATTGCCGCCTCATGATATGTTGTTGGCTCATCGGTAGTGAGCAACAATAATTCATCAAGATCCATCTCTACTAGTGGTGCTTCCGCATAGACCTCGGCAAGTGAGTGAAATTTCTTGGGAGCATCTTTCGTTGTGGATCTTCCTGAGTTCTCTTGTTGTCGTTGAGATTTCGGCGTGACCATTGGTGTCATTGGCGAGGTTGAGTCCGCTACTTCTCCGTCATCTTGTAAAATTCCGAACTCCATAGAATTTTGTATGAGCTCGTCATCATCGTTGCACCATTCTCACTTCTTCTCCTCTTCAAACACTGCGTCCTGCAACCTTCACATGTGCGGTACATCGAGAAATCTGTGCGCCTTACTTCCGTCTTCGACCAAGATACACCATTACACCATTGCTTGACTTCAATCATCGAGCTTCTTGAGATGTGGACCTGCAACCTTCATATGTGCGGTACATCCAAATAATCTCAAGTGTTTCAAATGAGGTCGCTTACCGAACCATGCTTGATAGGGGGTACAATCTCCTAGCATTTTTGTTGTCAAGCGGTTCAAGAGATATACTGCATGTCGTACCGCCTCTCCCCAAACGTTTGTCGGGACCTGCATGCTTTTAAGCAAGCTTCTCGCGGTGCCCATCACGGTGCGATTTCTCCTCTCCACCACACCATTTTGTTGAGGTGTATACGATGTCGTGAGATGACGCTCGACTCCCTCTTCTTTGCAGAACTCCGTGAATCTCTGGGAAGTGAACTCGCCACCTTGATCAGTTCGTAAAGTCTTCAACTTGTACTCCGACGTGTTCTCCACGAGCTTCTTGAACTTCTTGAATGTTTCAAAAACTTCTCCTTTTTCTTTGAGCATATACACCCACATCCAACGACTATAATCATCAACAAGTAAAAAGAAATACTTGTTACCGGCGAGTGATGTCGGGGTGATCGGACCACACAAATCCACGTGCACAAGTTGTAGAGGGTGCTCGGCTCGGAAGTTGGCTTGGGCAGGAAACGACAGTTTTGTTTGCTTTGAAATCATGCAACTCTCTCACACTTGGTTGGG